CCATCTTGTCGACTATGTAGTATGTATGTCTCGTGACCCCTCACCCTTCACGCTAAATGTGCCTGCTTTTCTTGCTTAAGTCTTAAAATGTTGACTAATGCACGATTTAGGGGGGAAAAAATGTAATTGCAATTGAAAATGAAAAATAAACACCAGGTTTTCTGTGCTTATTTGTAGGGCTGCACAATTTGGTCTTAAATTTTGTGATTACATAGCAATATAAAACAATAATAATATTTAGCCAAAGATGAAGAGAGAAAAAGTATTATTATTACTAATTATTATATTTTGTTATTATTTTACTGTTACTATTATTGTTACTATTACTGCTATTACTGCTTCCTTTAAATAAAAATATTAAAATAAGAAATAGTTATATTGTGATGATTCATTGTAAGATAATTGAATATTAAAGAAAAATATTACAATATGAATACAAAAAATTCTAAACATCACAATACTAATATTTGTAGTCTTAATTTTTATTTTCAAACATCATGAGCAGCTCATTTAGTGTAAATATTAATGTAATAATAAGAAAATGAAAATAATTATTATTAATAATAATAAAATGAATAATATTTATTAGTAGTATTATTGTTGTTATTACTAAATGAAAATACTAAACAAAAATATTTATAGTGTAAAAATTCACTAAAATAGAAAACTGAGTATTTAAGAAAAATAATAATAATGATAATAATTTTATTTTAAAGTACAAACATAATGAGCTGCTCGTGTGTAAAACAACCGCACTTCACACTGAAACATGCAGCGCAAATATTTACTTAAAAATAAATATTTTGCGCTCTAAGTTATAAAGCAATGTCAGTTTCATTTCAATTAATCGTGCATCCCTAATAATTGATTTAGGCTTTTATGATCAAAGTATTACTTGATATAAATAAGCGTTCTTATTGAAACCAAATGATTATGATTTGATTTGCTAACAGACGATGAACATCTACATTAATATGTCGATTTAGTATGTTTCTAGCATCACGGCATAAGAGCTTATGCTTTAGTTGAGTTGTGCTTAGTTTAAATTGAATGCAGTGAGAGAGACATTAACAAACAACTCAGCATCTTTCCATTGTGTGATCCTCATTGGTTGCATTCAGCAACAAACATATAATTGCATTCAACCTGTATGTTCAAACGGCTCGGTCTCAGAGTGGTACAGGCAGGGCTGTGATAACGACCTCTCAAAGCTGCGGCTCGTCTTCTGTCGCGTGACCTTTGTGAGCTGAGATTGCTGCTGTAATATGACTCAGGCTTGTGGTTTAGCGGTGTATTGCAGGCTTGTCATGACCGTCCTCGTTATGTGGGGTGATAATTGCCCAAACATGCAGTAGGAATGAGTGACTCTCTGCGAGCCGCTGACTGATCGCTGCTAATCCGCCTGAGATGACGGTCTGCGCTCTGACCATATGCGCTTGCTGAGTTTGCCCTGGGTGTTTCGAGTTGAATTCGTTAACTCATGTCAATCTAACCTGAATTTTCACTCAGGAATTGCTAGTAAATTTCACAAACAATTACAAAGAAATGGCAAATAACACATTGAATGAATGAAATGTTGAAGTATAAAGACTTAAGTATTTCCTTTGTAAATATTCTCCAATAAAAATATTAAAATAATAAATATTTTTATTATGATATTTCATTGTAAAATAATCGTGTATTAAAGAAAAATAATTAAAATATTACAAAATTAATTCAAAAAATTACAATACTAATGTTTTTTTGTCTTAATTTCTTAATCATGAGCTGCTCATGCAGTACAATTACTTCGTTATTAAGTTAATCGTTATTAAATGTATCCTGAGCTCACTTGTATCCTGACCTATTATTTTATATTATTTATATATTTTTCAAAATGCATACATATACATGTATTTAATAATAAATAAATATTAAACATAAATAACTACATTTCAAATATATATTAGCCTATTAATATTTAATAATTGTATAATGTATAAAATAAAAGTGTTTTGCGTGTGTATATGTTTGAAATATATTTATAACATATTTATTATTTATTTTAAAAGACATATACACACACACTAAATTTAACTAAAATAATTTGAAATATATTTATAAAATATATTAACTAAAAAAATAAATGTATTTTTAAATGTAGTAATATTTAATAGCTTTAATGCATAATATAATATATAAAATAATTGTGTTCTGGAGTGTGTGTGTATGTATATATATATATATATATATAAATATATATATATAAATCAAATTTTATATATTTAAAATATATTTCTGAAATATTTACAGTGGTGTGAAAAAGTGTTGGCCCCCTTCCTGATTTCTTATTTTTTTGCATGTTTGTCACACTTTAATGTTTCAGATTGTTCTTTTTGTGAAATGCAGTGTTACTTTTACGCCAGATGTAATGGGACACACACCTTCCCAACAGTTCAACTTTTGTCTCGTCAGTCCATAGAGTATTTTCCCAAAAGTCTTGGGGATTATCAAGATGTTTTCTGGCAAAACTGAGATGAGCCTTTATGTTCTTTTTGCTCAGTAGCGGTTTTCGTCTTGGAACTCTGCCGTGCAGACCATTTTTGCCCAGTCTCTTTCTTTTGGTGGAGTCATGAACACTGACCTTAACTGAGGCAAGTGAGGCCTGCAGTTCTTTGGATGTTGTTGTGGGGTCTTTTGTGACCTCTTGGATGAGTCGTCGCTGTGCTCTTGGGGTAATTTTGGTCGGCCGGCCACTCCTGGGAAGGTTCTCCACTGTTCCATGTTTTTGCCATTTGTGAATAATGGCTCTCACTGTGGTTCGCTGGAGTCCCAAAGCTTTAGAAATGGCTTTATAACCTTTTCCAGACTGATAGATCTCAATTACTTTCTTTCTCATTTGTTTCTGAATTTCTTTGGATCTCGGCATGATGTCTAGCTTTTGAGGATCTTTTGGTCTACTTCACTTTGTCAGGCAGGTCCTATTTAAGAGATTTCTTGATTGCGAACAGGTGTGGCAGTAATCAGGCCTGGGTGTGGCTAGAGAAATTGAACTCAGGTGTGATAAACCACAGTTTTAACAGGGGGGCAAACACTTCTTCACACAGGGCCATGTAGTTTTGGATTTTGTTTTCCCTTAATAATAAAAACCTTCATTTAAAAACTGCATGTTGTGTTTACTTGTGTTATCTTTGACTAATATTTAAATTTGTTTGATGATCTGAAACATTAAAGTGTGACAAACATGCAAAAAAATAAGAAATCAGGAAGGGGGCCAACACTTTTTCACACCACTGTATACCATTATGAAGTAGTTCATACAACTTGTGTGTTTTGTTTTCTAATAGCTTTGAACGAAATTTATTGACTGAAAGTTATTCACTTAAAATCTCATTGTCAGTTGTGCAGTTTCACACACGTCTGACGGTTTTGAAAGTTTTGATTTGTACACAAAAAAAGTTTGTAGGGCCCTATTGTTCAAAATGTTGAAATTGAGACTTTTGGACTTATTTTTTCACTGAAATAAGTGTTTTTGTAATTACTCAGAGAATTACTCGGTTCAAATGTGAATGGTACCCAACCCTACAGGTGGGACACATTTCCTGTGAAATTCCCTCCACGCTGCGCCCTACATCCTTCACTCATGAAATATAGAAGACAAACGAAGCGCTGCCGCTGACTGATCATTTCACATAAAGGAGGAGTGACGATGTAACATGCTGTCCAGACTCGAGTGTGTTTGTAGAGTGTGTGGTGTAGTAAATCATTTTTAGCATGTGTAACATCTGATATCTGAGCGAGCGAGCCGTTTGTTTCCTGCAGGAAGAAACTAGAGCAGCTTTACTGGAGCTCATGATTTATTCACGTTTCATCCTCATGAGTGGCCATAATGAACTGAGCTGCAGGTCATGCTGCAGATTCATATTTAACATCATCTGTTGCCTTTTTTGCTGCTATTTAAAATAAAGGTTGAGCCACAACATGCTTGTTTTGTATGCTAATCATTAACTTTGACAGGAATGCTAGTAGTTTTGGTATATCGGGGCAATTTTTTTCATCACTGATTATGGCTTTTTAGGCATTTTTTAAAGATGGCATTGCATTTAGTCCAGCAGTTTTTGAATGCAACAACATTTCATAAGTGAAAACCTCCCAAGAAACGCATCTGATGAACCATGTGAGCCTAATTATACAGTTATGACATTAGTTTTGCACTTCCCTATCATTTGATATGTAGCTGGCGTGCTCGACCTCTGAACCACAGACCAATCACATGTAAGCCACAATGACAGAGACTGAATCAGACTAATGTTACTGATCACAGAAGGATCAGATGCAAAAAAGCAGCAAGATCAAGTGCACAACACCACAAACATCCTTTTGTTTAAACCGGAATAAATGTCAAAAAACAAACAGCCGCTATGGGACGTTCTGGCCTTTTTTCTGGAGATGTTCATGTAAATGTGTGCATGAATTATGAACGTGCGCAGGGCGGCTGTGGGACTCGAGTCAGAATCCGGTCTTTGCATATGCTTGATTTAAATCATCTACACTGGGGAAAAAAATTGGGTTTACTTTAAACAGTTTTCAGTCAGGAATAGCTAGTAAATTTTACAAATAATTGCAAAGGAACAGCAAAAACAGTATTTTCTTGTAAATGTACTCTAATAATATTTTTCAGTCTTTTAAATCTTTTTTATTAAATCTTTTTGTTTTTTAGTGTATCCTGAACTTAATACCTAATGTGTGCATCTCTGACCTACTTTTTTTTTAAATTTCATACATACATGGAATTATATGTATTTATTTACTGGATGCATTATATGCATTTAATATATAATAAATAAATATATGTATTTATTATATTTAATATAAAATAAATGATTTTGAGTTATATCCATTTATTGTAGTTATTGTATATATAATTTCTCTCATCTATTCAGTAGAAACATGTGGTTTAAAATGTGCAACAAAACGAGTCTCTAAGTTAGTTTTGTGTGTGTTTTGGTCCACAGGAAGTGGCTCTCTGTCCCGCTGGAGGTGTGATGTTGATCTGTGACTCCGGTGTGTGTGGAGACGAGCAGAATCATTGATGGCTGGATGTAGGTGAGCACTGCAGCACTCTCTGATGGACCATCAGAGCAAACACACGTCTACAGAAACAGGACACGTATAGGGCTGGGTGGATATTTTGGCTTTAAGATGATATCAATCTCTAAATAAACACACGACTGTCTGATGTTTCTGAAGTGTTACTTTCGCTCCCCTGTACTTCCCCTTCTCATCTGTTTCTCTTTCCATATTGTCACCCCTTATATATCTTTTGCGCAGGGGTCCGATGGTGTGTTAAAGGCGCCATGGGGAGCTGCTGTAGCTGTCCCGATAAAGAGATCATCCCTGACAACCATCACAACAAATTCAAGGTGAGCATCTCTCGATCTAATGCTGTCTGTGTGTCACACGGACTTCAGTAAAGAGAGACAGATGTTCTCATATCTCTGGCCTAACACATTATTAAGTGCTCTTTTAAGTGCTTACTGTGCACTACAGGCAAATGTTTGGACAGTTTAGACTAGTCATCATAAAATATGGAACTTAGAAATAATAATATAATAATAATAATAAAAACACAACTGGAAATATGGGAATTATGTAGTAAAAAAAACAAAAACTCCAAATATTTTCTTTAAAAAACAAAAAATAAATTATATATGATTTTTTTTATATTGTATTATTATATTAAAATTATATAATATATTTTATATAATTATAATAAAAAATGGTTTATCATGTAATCAATATAAATATAATTATTTAAAACAGAGGTTCTCAGGACCCATTGCTCTGCACATTTTGTACGTGTCTCTTATCTGACACACTCGGTTCAGTTCATGGATCTCTCTCTTAATGAGCTGATGATCTGAATCAGGTGCGTTGAATAAGGGAGATATACAAAATGTGCGGAGCAGTGGGTCCCGAGGACTGGAAGTATATAAAAACAAATTATAAGTTCTACAATTAGTTATATATATTTCGTGTATTTTATCTATTTAAGTAGAATTTAAATAGAATGCAATAAACATTTAAGTAGAAGCTAGATTATATTAGTAGATTATATTATTTCAAACTAATAAATGATTTAACATTTAAAGGGGTCATATGATGCGATTTCAATTTTTCCTTGTGCGTTCTAGATGGGCTGTCAGTCAGTGCAGTTACAGTGTTGCACCACAAGGTGGTGGAAAGGGACTGTCATTCAACTACACGTTCAAAAACGCTGATTCATTCATTCAAAGAGACGTAATGAAATACGCTGTTGAAATCATTTTAACTTTGAGCGCCACTTTAGAAGGCTCAGCTGACCAGCTATGCGTCGATGCTAAGACGATGATTTCGCTTTCCTTAGACATGACAACCTATTTTCACAAATATATATGACTCGGCCTGGAGGACAGACGCAAGTAATCGCACGTGCTCAGTCGATCTCTCTCTCATTCACTGTCTGTTTAGGCTTGTTAAGTGCAAACCTACGGAGCCTCTGTACAAATCAGCATGGTACACATTGTTATAATTACTAACTTGTTTAATATTCAGTCCACATGCATGAAGTGTGAAACGAGAAGGGCATAACCTTACGAAAAAAGAAAACACGCAAAAATCGCGGTTGCTGCGGTTCTTGCATTCCTCTGCGGTTTGCTCTTCAATAGCACGGTATTGTGATATTGCGGTTATCGCGACAGCCCTACACACACGTGTGTGTTTGTGTGTATACAGTTTTGTCTTGTTAAGAAATTAAGGCATTTAAGTAGAATCAACAGACTTTTAGCTCATAAGAACAAAAATGTAGTCTAAAGTTTGACTGGTCGTGTATGTGTCTGAAAAAAATTACATTCAAAAATTCACACCATGTATTTTAAGCTGTGTTCAGAGGTGTGCAGATGCTGATGTGTGTGTGTGTAGGTGATAAACGTGGATGATGACGGTAATGAGCTGGGCTCGGGTGTGATGGAGTTGACGGAGGAAGAGCTCATTCTGCACACGCGCAAACGAGACGCCGTGAAGTGGCCCTACCTCTGCCTGCGCCGCTATGGCTACGACTCCAACCTCTTCTCCTTCGAGAGCGGCCGGCGCTGCCAAACCGGTCAAGGTGAGCAGATATATTAGGCATCCGCTGACAGATCCACTGAAAGACGCTCAAACGCTCACGTTTGCTTCAGTGTGAGCCGCACTCAACGAAGACTGTGAAGCGATGATCAGTGTTGGGGAGTAACTAGTTACATGTAACGGCGTTACGTAATTTAATTACAAAATAAATGTAACTGTAATCTGTTACAGTTACTAAGAAAAAATGTGTAATTAAATTACAGTTACTTATGAAAATGTTAACGATTACAAAGGGGATTACATTTACTACTATTACATTTTAAATAGGGTAACTTGTAATCTGTAACCTATTACATTTCCAAAGTAACCTTCCCAACAATGGCGATGATCATTGTAGCCAATCACAGACATATCTGTTGAGCACGTGAACACAGTGGCCATCAACGGTGTTAAAGAATCCACTCAACAGCACTTAAATTCTAGTGGGAAATGCTAGTATCGTCTCGTTTTTTAAATTTCGGTACCAAAGTCGGTACTTTTTGACACCCTTGCTATCAGATATGGTTGTCATTCACATTCATACTTCACTCTTCTCCTCAAAGGGATATTTGCGTTCAAGTGCGCGCGGGCCGAGGACATCTTTAACATGCTGCAGGACATCATGCACAACAACAGCATCAGTGTGGTGGAGGAGCCGGTGCTGGAGCCCGAGCTTCCAGTGATGCCTCACACTCCCACCAGTAAGAACACACACACACACACACACACACACATACACACACACACAC